TTGCACTATTTTAAATAAAAGTATTGAAATGGTTTGCACTATAACAATAGAATGGACTTATAACACTGGATAATCGAGGTTAACAACATTTTGTTTACATGACAAAACCCGCGTGATAGTTCCAATGTGTGGAGAACACGCAAAACGCACACGCAAACGCATAACCCACATGCATAAGTACACTCACAAAGATTTTCTTGTATCAACATTTTATATAAACAATAACGTTTCTACAAAAGATCAAACTTGTCTGAGAAGGTCCAATCACTTGCGCCACCCACAACGTTAAAAGGCTAGATATTACTAGTAAGGGACAAAATTATAACCTGTAAGCTACGTCACTGTCAGCGATCATACGCTGGCGGGTTATCAGGACTGACCATATGTGTGTGAGAGCGTCCTCTGCACCAGCCGATATTGACAGTGACGAACATTACGCGTATCAAAGTCCATTATCATCGGACTCGTTCATGATGGCGTCTTGAGCTTCTGGTTTGAAATCCTCAGAGAGCTTATCACCAGTCATTCGCAGCTCGAGGGTCACGTTGTTGTAACCTGCACCCATCAAACTGTCTCCCACGTCCATTGCTTGTAGTGTAGCTGTAATGTTAAAGTGAGTTCGAGTGGCGCAACGCCGCCTTGAATATTTTTTGGTTCAGTTATATCAATGAACACACCCATCAACCTATAACTGCTTCGGAGGACCAACCTTTCGCCGGAGTCCTTTGGAGCAGACAAGACAAAATCGTAGATCGTGATGGGTTGTTAGAATTGTTCATTAAAAAGAGTTTTAGGCATAGGATGTTGGATATTTGGAAGCTGTATTACGCATATGACCGTTAAAGGGCAAGTTCACACGGAAATGAACCTATTTTTCTTGTATTTTTTCCACATTAAAAGTGTTAACCTAGAAGTGTCATAGACAAAAATATAAAAATATCACTAATAAATGACATATTTTTTGCATTAAAATGATTTATATTTTTCACATTTACCAAGTGTTCTATTTCAATAACAAAAACACCATGGCTTATGCCCCTTACAATATGACGTCATTGGTGCCAATTGATAAACATTATGACGTCATCATGCTTTGTTAGAGCCGCTTCACGTGGTGTAGGTACAGGTGTGTGATTCTAGCGTCTCAGATGCCAGCCAGCATAGTGTTATGCTGAGTCACCACTGCGCCGGAGTGTGTCGTAGGCCATGTTGTTTTACCGCAAACTGGTACTTGATATCTTTTGCGTTGAGAATAGACAGGGACCCAGTTGAATTGGCACCAATTACGTCATAATCTAAGGGGGATAACTCAGGCCTGTTTAGCTCGAAAAACCGAAGGCCTCATAACGGCATATCATTTTCACACTCTTGTGAGCTTCCTACTTTCACTGTGAAAAAAATGAGTGTATATTTTCAAACACAGATACTAACTAATTCTAAAATTGCGTTTTGTTTAGAAAAAGATAGAAAGTGATTTTTGCGTGTACACTTCCCCTTTAAGCATACACTAGAACCATTTGTGAGCAAGTCCGACCTATTAACGTGAAGATATATACGATCAAGTTTTTCCTTCCTTTCTCTTCCTATTCCCGTATTTGCTACTGCAGCTAGGTCAAATAGATATATATATAATATAAATCTTTCATAAACAGATCCTCGCATCAACATCACTCAAGATAAGTTGACGTATAGTTTATTTACTTAAATTTAGGTACTGGTTTTAAATTTGCGACCGCTTACAGCGGAGCAAACGACTACCCTCGTTGGGAGGACTACTGAATCAGCGGAGCAAACGACTACCCTCGTTGGGAGTAAGGTGATGTGAAATGGGGCTTAACGTCGCGTCCAAGATTATTGCACTTATATAGCAACGTGCATGCACGTGTGTGTGTGTGTGGCTGCTTGTACTAGTCCGGACTGATGCCGATCTATAGTGCTTGCTCACTGAGACACCATGCCGCAGTTTAACATGAATATCCCACTCAGACACAGTATACTGACTCCGAGCCGACCAGTCCTTGTTTTAGCCCCTTAATCCCGAGTGCCAAAGAGGATAACAACAAGTACCATCTTTTAACGTCTTCTGGTATGACGAACCCCGGACCTTACGCTCTCCGGGCGGACGTTCTACCACTACACCAAGGAGACGGTATTAGTCGGGAGTAAGACTGCCGAATCAACGGAGCTAACACTCGTTTTTAATACTCAGTTTTGTTGATATTAAACCGACATATTTTAGGTTTCAAAAAGAATACAGCATGTACAGATGTTATTACATCTTTAGATCAACTCATGATCAGAGAACAGGGCACTAATTATGAAGGGGCGCAACTCTGCACAACTTGAGGCGCCTCAGACATGGTCGTCCGTGCCCGTGACGTAATTTATAACAGTATAATTGTTGGATGAAGGGCCACGAAATGTACGATGTTTCAAAGTCATAGTTCAGAACAAATCCAAGTTCAGTCTGACTTGGTAAACCTAGTCTGCGCCTTCAGAGCCTGCAATGGTTTGATATACTAATCAATATGTTTAATAATTATAATAATAATCCTCAACAAAAGGCTCTCTGAACGACCACTGTATCGAGTTTATGTGCAGTTTGTTGAGAGGATCAGCAACCCCGCAGAGCCCTTCGCTTTGATGAAGTTGGATGGCAAAAGAGGTTTTCTGTTTGCTTGTCAGAACCAGTCACTTCCCACTCGAAACCGTCAATGTGTGATTCTGCATCAAAATTTAAATATGAAACATAGATTATGCATTTAATTTAATGAGACTGACCAACACATTGTCAGTGGATGCCCAGCTTTGACACAAACACAGTATCTTAAGCGTCATGATGGCGTGGCTCGTTCACTTTATTACCGTCTTCGCCATGCTTGTGGTTTTGACACAGAGGACCATCCATGCTACGACCCAGAATAGGTAGAGGGCGTCATGGAAAATGATAAATACAAAATTCTTTGGAATAGGCCCGTGTACAGCCTCAGACCTATCCTGGACAACAAACCTGATCTTGTCCCTTTTTTATAAATCCAATGAAATCATTTATATTATTGAATTTTCTGTCCCTTTTGTTGTCCGACTCCCTATTGTTCTCAGTGCCTTAGGTTTGGTACCTCCCAATCTGTTGACTGACATTGGAAGAGTACCCGGCTTTGCTACCAGGAATACAGTCTGACAATCTTGGTAATGCTGCAGTGTTGGGGAGTCTTCACATTCTCCGAAAAGTTCTGGATGGGTCCCATTCGCTGTGTGGCCTGCGTGGAAAGGGGACAAGGGCCCTGAGCTGATGATGAGCCAAACCAGCCTGACTGTTCCAGGATCACCCAAACCCTCTTTGTTGCATTTTCTATTTTAATCTGTACATAATAATAATGATAAATTCAGGGTATTTACTTAAGCCCTCACACGAAGAATCATATCAGGTAATAGATCCCACCACGCTCGCTCTTATATTTATATTTACCAATCATGAGGGGAGGGCATGGCTTGATTAACGTGGAGGCTCTTCATGATAGAATTGTATTGTCAACTTTTTCACACATTTATTTGCTCTAGTGAAGCATGTCAAGACTCATGATGAAAACAAGGCATTCCATAGTTTCTTTACACGAGCCAAGGATGTGGGACATAATCTCAATGTCAATCTTGATTTTGGTAATGGTTCTGTACTGCTTGAGGGTACTGAAATGAGTGTCAATCATGCGAAGTGCCATATCACTCAGTTTTTCAAGGAGAGGCTATCTGAACGAACACTGTATCGAGTTTATGTGCAGTGTGTTGAGAGGATAAGCATTCATGCAGGGTCAAAACCCAAACCCTCTTTGTTGCATTTTCTATTTTAATCTGTACATAACAAATCAATCCTTTAAGCTGTTTGCCTTGCAAAGTGGAAAAAGAGGACGATTATCATCAGCACAGACCCCCAACACCCCTTACTTACCTCGTTTACATGGATGACCATCTTGCAAAAGAGAATCCACACTAAAAAACAGATTCTTAATGTCGAGACCTTTCCTAATGATATTGGCGTGTCTTTTGAAATGTGGCCAGGTAGAAGAGGGAGGATCAGCCAGTTTACATGGGGAAGGAGTTATTGACCACATCGTAGAAGGTCAGGCCTATACGTAACATGTGGCATATCAAGGATACAAGGGTTTATGATAGTGTTTTAGGGGTGTTGTTATGAAAAGCTTATTCTTGCGTTGTCTGAGAAGGCGCATTAGTGTCGTTACATATATTGATTGAGGGTAATAGCTGAAAACCATATTTGCTGAATGATATATGCCAGTAGGCCTTATTGTACAAAATAACGTGCAAATTTGTATTCTTTTTGTTGTGAAATACGTCTTAAATGGGAGTGAGTGAATCACCCGCGGTATCAGCTTAACGTGGGCGGAAAGCCCATCGATGACTAACAGAAACAGAAGGAATGCACACGATTAAATAATTTGAAAGATAAGTGAAAAGGTTTATTTCCTTCTTCTATTGGTCTACTTTGGTCTTATTTACGTAATGTTTGTTTGTTTGTTTGTTGTTTAACGCCGCACTCTAATACACCCGGAATGTGCAAGAATCATTTGAAGTGGGTTCAAAGCGCATTCTAAGTATTCGAATGTCATTCTTACAAAGCTTGGTCAATTTGAAATCCCCCCCCCCCCCCCCCCCCCCCCCCCCGAATGTGTCACGAATTTTGAAACTTCTTCATTCCGTCTGGTTCTGCTTGATTCCTTTTGATTCCGAATAGGTGTGATGGGGGCTTAACGCGGCACTCAGCAATATTCCAACTATATGATGGCGGTCTGTAAATATTCGAATCTGGACCAGACAATCCAGTGATTGATATCATGAGCATCAATCCACGCAATTGGGATCGATGATATGCATCAACCAAGTCAGCGAGCCTGACCACCCGATCCCGTTAGTCGCCTCTTACGACAAGCATAGTCGCCTTTCACGACTAGCATGGGTTGCTGAAGACCTATTCTACCCCCGTCGTAAGGATCTTACGTAAAGATAAAAGGTATCAGAGACACATACACAAAAACTATATCATGGTTGTGGATTGAGAAACAAAATGTACAAACGTACCCCAAATAATAGTTTCTTATGACATCGACGATGATGCATGCTGATGTATTTTAAGGGAAGCTGTCGAGTGATACCAAAGGCGGACTGACCTACAGTAACACGTGACCTGAATACGTTACAATGGAAACCTTATGAAATCATCCTCTGGATTTAGTCTACTTGTTAGAGGTTATCTGCAGAATAACCCAGTGACTCGGAAACGAGCTCGTCAACTTTACACAATGAGCGGATGAAGGAAATAGTAACGGCATCTAGTTTCCGCCATCTTCCGATGAATCCCTCCAGCAAGAGAAACATTCCCAAAAGAGCTGCAATTACGAACTTCACATCCGCCAGTATCGAATATTCTTCTGCAAGTGACATGCAAACAGGAAATCTAAAAAGAAACGAAAGTATTCAGTAACAGTATAAAATTGAGCATGTATCAGATGAATCAATACGTTACAAATGAACACGTCAAACGTGTGTCAGATGTACTCTGTGTGTGTGTGTGTGTGTGTGTGTGTGTGCGAGTGTGTGTGTGCGCGTGCGTGCGTGCGTGCGTGCGTGCGTGTGTATGTGTGACCACAAAAAACAGTTATTTGTCGAATGTGATCATACACATTTATCCTGGGACTTCCCCTTGCACAGCCGACGACGTTGACACGATCCTGTCATGAAAACAGTTCACATGTTCAAAACAGAGACTGGTCCAAAAGCATACTGTAGTGCCCCGACATTTTAAATTCACACATTATTTCATGGCCGGTGTTGAATATCGTATTCCAACAGGAAACAAACTTACACCTACATTAATTAGTAAGTCTTTTTTTTATTGTTTCTTCCTTACTTAATTAGTTAACTTAATTTCAGAACAGAACTTTAATAACTGTGGAATAATATATTCTTCCAGCGAACAACCCTCAAAACCACACCGATATTATTAAGTAAGTAATAAATACGTTTCTGTTTGTTTGAATGATTATTCATTAGTTAAGTAATCGTCCATAATTATTACATTTCATAACAGAATAGAACTAATTACACTCCGACTGCTGTCATCGGTATAAGAGATACATGGGTGTTGCAGCGTGCTTTTCGTTAAAGTCTATACTTTCGTCAAGCCGCCTCCTTTATCAGTTTACTCCCTATCTTTTTTTTATAGTACTGTATTTGATGAACATTACTGTCATGTTATGTTGTATACTTTTTTCATTTAAAACATAGGATATACCTTACTCTTCCTACCTGTTATCTGTCACTTTTAACACATTCAGTTGGGTTTTTTTACAGTCGATTGTCGTCATTTCTCTTACATTCTCTAGATTTCGTCTTATATTCAACTAAGAATTGTAAGGTTTGGTAAAGTTTACACACAAGATTTTCCGAATCAACTCTCCTCACAAACAATACACACACAGAAGATTTGTCAGAAAGGTTTCTTCTTCCTCCAAAGACAAAACACAGCTCGGGGACCGACAATTTGATGTACTTGGGGGAGCTAGACTTTGTAAAATCAAATGGTTGGTCCTTTATCAAATCCTTTGCAGAGCAAACCTTAATAAACCACCAAGCATGTTTAGCAAGGTTGTGTGGGAATGGACCTCATTTCAATGTCACAATGGACCCGTGAAGATCCAGGCTAGAATGGGTCTTCAGCAACCCATGCTTGCCATAAAAGGCGACTATGTTTGTCGTACGAGGCGACTAACGGGATCGGGTGGTCAGGCTCGCTGACTTGGTTGATGCAATTCATCGTATCCAAATTGCCTGGATCGATGCTTATGATGTCAATCACTGGATTGTCTGGTCCAGACTCGATTATTTACAGACCGCCGTCATATGGCTGGAATATTGCTGAGTGCGGCGTTAAACAACAAACAAACAATGTCACAATGCCTTATCTACCAAGTGTCAATGGGTGCTCCTTTTTGGAGGCTGGATGAACTCATCAAAGCTGAATGTCCATCGAGGTCATTCGAGAAAAACAAATCAGAACCTGTTGTTGACACCGAGGAACATTAAGTAGACAGGGCGTCGTGTTTATGTCGAGTTCACATCAAATAGGTTATTTCCGTCTACTCCAACTTAAATATGTCTGACATACAGTTGGGAAAAAATACGAAAAAAACCTCATCTTCTATTCGACCCGTGAAAATGGTGCTACTGGCAGGTGATTTGTGTTGGATGTCTATTTTCAGTGTTGTGCACTTATAAACATACATGTACGTTGGCACCTGTTGGAGTGAGTGCGTGTTTTCTACTGTGTGTGTCTTATACGGCGTCTTATTTCACATCATTGGTATGTGGTACTTCAGAATCAGCGATACGAAAGGAAAACCAGTCAAGTCAGAATGAGTCAGAAACTGATTTCGTGGGGTTCGTAAGTGCAAACGTCCTCTCTTTGTCCCCGCATAAGTGTACATCTCGGTTGTATGAGTGGGTGGGCGGGGAGGTGGATGGGTGACTGAGTGGGTTTGATGGTGGGTACATAATTCGGTGAGTGGGTTTGTGAGTGAGGGGTTGGGAGGCGCGTGGTTGTGTGTTTGGGTTGGGTGGATGAGTGGGTTGGTTTGGGAGGGTAGCTGTGTGAGTGAGTGGATTGGTGAGTGAGTGGGTGGAAGGGTGCGTGGTTGTGTGTTTGGGTTGGGTGGGTGAGTGGGTTGGTTTGGGAGGGTGGCTGTGTGAGTGAGTGAGTGGAAGGGTGCGTGGTTGGGTGTTTGGGTTGGGTGGATGAGTGGGTTGGTTGGAGGGTAGCTGTGTGAGTGAGTGGATTGGTGAGTGAGTGGGTGGAAGGGTGCGTGGTTGTGTGTTTGGGTTGGGTGGATGAGTGGGTTGGTTTGGGAGGGTAGATGTGTGAGTGAGTGGATTGGTGAATGGGTGGGTGGAAGGCTGTGTGGTTGTGTGTTTGGGTTGGGTGGATGAGTGGGTTGGTTTGGGAGGGTGGCTGTGTGAGTGAGTGAGTGGAAGGGTGCGTGGTTGGGTGTTTGGTTTGGGTGGATGAGTGGGTTGGTTTGGGAGGGTAGCTGTGTGAGTGAGTGGATTGGTGAGTGAGTGGGTGGAAGGGTGCGTGGTTGGGTGTTTGGGTTGGGTGGATGAGTGGGTTGGTTTGGGAGGGTAGCTGTGTGAGTGAGTGGGTGGAAAGGTGCGTGGTTGTGTGTTTTGGTTGGGTGGATGAGTTGGTTGGTTTGGGAGGGTGGCTGTGTGAGTGAGTGAGTGGAAGGGTGCGTGGTTGGGTGTTTGGGTTGGGTGGATGAGTGGGTTGGTTGGAGGGTAGCTGTGTGAGTGAGTGGATTGGTGAGTGAGTGGGTGGAAGGGTGCGTGGTTGTGTGTTTGGGTTGGGTGGATGAGTGGGTTGGTTTGGGAGGGTAGATGTGTGAGTGAGTGGATTGGTGAATGGGTGGGTGGAAGGCTGTGTGGTTGTGTGTTTGGGTTGGGTGGATGAGTGGGTTGGTTTGGGAGGGTGGCTGTGTGAGTGAGTGAGTGGAAGGGTGCGTGGTTGGGTGTTTGGTTTGGGTGGATGAGTGGGTTGGTTTGGGAGGGTAGCTGTGTGAGTGAGTGGATTGGTGAGTGAGTGGGTGGAAGGGTGCGTGGTTGTGTGTTTGGGTTGGGTGGATGAGTGGGTTGGTTTGGGAGGGTAGCTGTGTGTGTGAGTGGATTGGTGAGTGAGTGGGTGGAAGGGTGCGTGGTTGTGTGTTTGGGTTGGGTGGATGAGTGGGTTGGTTTGGGAGGGTAGATGTGTGAGTGAGTGGATTGGTGAATGGGTGGGTGGAAGGCTGTGTGGTTGAGTGTTTGGGTTGGGTGGATGAGTGGGTTGGTTTGGGAGGGTAGCTGTGTGAGTGAGTGAGTGAGTGGAAGGGTGCGTGGTTGTGTGTTTAGGTTGGGTGGATGAGTGGGTTGGTTTGGGAGGGTAGCTGTGTGAGTGAGTGGATTGGTGAGTGAGTGGGTGGAAGGGTGCGTGGTTGTGAGTTTGGGTTGGGTGGATGAGTGGGTTGATTTGGGAGGGTGGCTCAAGTTAACAACATCCAAGGCTTCAGTAAAGCTTTCAAAAGGTGTGATAGTAGACATATGGACGACATTTCCAAATGTGAATCATCAGTGACAAAAACAATGTCCGATGCTCTTCCCTATTTGGACTTGTACCATATGTTCCCGTGTTGGTTTTTTTCGGGTGAACAGTTGACTTGCATTTGCATGTGTTTGTGACGGGTGCCACCGCTGGGGCAGGATACGAACACCTGGTAACATCATTATTTGATGTTGATTCACAAACACTTGCTCATAATGTAGTCGGAATCGTACAATCTTTCTTATGAATATGGAAAGGGTTTTGTCGCTTGTATTTGTATTTCCTCATCTAAAATTGTATGATTTATAGCAATCTACTAGTGAGTGAAACAGAAAGAGAAACAATGTTGGTGTGTGACACGATAATCAGTTAATACTGTTACATTGTTATTAAACAACACAACGAAGAGACAGTGGGTTTAATGGCTTGGATAAAACTTGCTATAATTATAAATACACCCATGTCCAGTCATTCTATACATTCAGACAACCTACAACAATAGGCGGAATTCCCCAGCTCCATCGAACAGTGTATGTTTTGTAAAGTGTTCCCAAATAACCATTGTTTATGGACCAGTTCTTCTTAACGGGTTGATTTTTGTTGTGTGAAATGGCTGAAAGAAACTACAGCACGTCTCACGAATGAAAGAAACTTGAAAAAGACGGTATTTTACTCACTCAAAGTCAAGAAATAAAACACATTCTTAAATTAAATTAAATCACCAACTTTCTTAAACAAAGTGTGCTAATCATGTTAACACCTATCAAAATAAAATGGCGTAAAACAATTTGAAACACAACACTCGATCACAGCAGCAAACGTCTGCATGGCAATTACACTAGTCTGTCTGCCTTTAGAAAACAATCACACAAAATGTGTAATTATCTGGCAACGAAACACGAGAACACACTGAAGAAATATAAAGTATTGTAACAAAAAGAAAATTTATACATACTGAAGATAGATAAATCTTGTCCAAAACGTATCTGTTTTTACTCCGAGCGATAAAATATATGCACGAAAGCAAAGTTGGGCAAATACTAAGCTCCACATCTTATAAGGAATCAGTGAATTAAATTATGGGAAAGTAATTTATCTACCTCTGTGACTGATAAGCTTTCCTTGGACTCCCATCAAAATACATCGATAATACATACAAAATACATGTTTGTCGAAGTAGAATAATCTGCACCGAAGAGGAATTATAATATTACGTTCATTGCACATTGACTACTTAATTAGAATTACATTCTTTGGAAACAAGCGTTGATTAAAACACTTCCCTGTATCTCTTCTTCACTACTGCCAGCCATGTTTCGCGCTGTGAC